TTTCGCCCTCGGTCTTCCTTCTCTCTCAGTTTCTTCTTTTGTCCTCACTGGTGCCTTTGGCGCTGCTCGAGCCTAGCGCATCTTTGATGGCAGACTCGTTTGCGTCTTCTCGCATCTCGGCTAACAGAATCTTGAGTTTGCCGAACAGCCAGTCCCTGTACGAACGTGGCTGCCATCACGAGCATCCTTGATCCGACCAATGTGCCGCTGTAACAGTCTGCACTTCTGTAGCCGACTAAACAGCCACGTAATCTTGGCTTGCTCTGACGGTTGATGCTCATGCGGGATTGAATTTCGAATGTACTCAGCGCGATCAGCAAACGCGAGCAATGACTGATACGAGAATGTGTCAATCTGCAGCTCATGCTTGTTCGGTGAGATTGGCGTCGCGCCTCTGATCAAGGAAGAAGCGCCTTGCAAGCGTGCGCAGAAGGACCCGACGGCGTGGTGCGGTGTAGTTCAACTGCGAACTTTCGGTGTACGCCTGAAACTGCATTCCTAGCTCACTCGTCATGTGACGTGAGTCGGCAGGCAAACTAGCGATGTGAGCATCAAGTCGGGGCAGCAATCCGGGGTCAGATAAATCACCAACGCTTGCAACCTCGAATTCAGGCATGGCCCCATGGCATAACCCAGTGAAGGATCGTGACCTTACCGGTCGCATCGATCGAACACAACCGCGCTGCAAAGGCTTCTTCCAACCCCTGATTTAAGCGGCATCCCTCGGCAAGCTGTCGATCTTTACCAACGATAGATCCTTGTTGCGGTAGACATCGGCCTCCTCAACGACACCGGTAGACCCAATCCCTTGACTCTTCCTACTGGGAGAGCTGTTCGCAATAGATCCTGGGGCTGATGGGCCTGAAGATGGGGGTCCTGGCGGGGGCCTGGGCCCGCGACCAGCTACCGTCAGAGGCCTCAGTATCGCGAGGATCAGGAGAAGGAGCAGGGGTAGCAACTACAACCGATTTAACCGCATGCAACTCAGCTCTCAACTTAGAAATACATGATGCGACATCCGCACCATTGAGGCCTTGTGTTGGAACTGGTTGTTCAGGTCTGTTCTGATGTTGAAGCAATGTGAGCTGCGATTGCAACGTTGAGATTTGGAGCTGCATCTCCCTCTCCCGCTGTTGCGCTGATGCTCTTGGCTCTTGCTCTCTGCGGTTGGCGCTCTCCACAAGAGCTTGCTTGCTTGCTTGCTTGCTGAGGGGTGTGGGCCTCCGAAGAGACCCTGGCCCGAAGGCCTACCCCCACTACGGTTCCGCAAGAGCTCGCTCTCTCTCTCTCTCTCTCTCTCTCTCTCTCTCTCTCTCTCTCTCTCTCTCTCTCTCTCTGTCTCTCTCTCTGTCTCTCTCTCTCTCTCTCTGTCTCTCTCTCTGTCTCTCTCTCTGTCTCTCTCTCTGTCTCTCTCTCTGTCGTCTCTCTCTCTCTCTGTCGTCTCTCTCTCTCTCTCTCTGTCTCTCTCTCTGTCTCTCTCTCTGTCTCTCTGTCTCTCTGTCTCTCTGTCTCTCTGTCTCTCTCTCTCTCTCTCTCTCTGTCTCTCTCTTCTGTCTCTCTCTCCTGTCTCTCTCTCCTGTCTCTCTCTCCTCCCTCTCTCTCTCTCTCTCTCTCTCTCTCTCTCTCTCTCTCTCTCTCTCTCTCTCTCTCTCTCTCTCTCTCTCTCTCTCTCCCTCTCTCTCTCTCTGTCTGTGGAGGGCTTCATGTTTGACCTGTTCAAGGAAAGCCGACATTTCTTGTCGAACGTGCTCTGTTTGGGCTGCTGCCTGATTGTGAACATGTGCTTCAAATGCTCGGGCTTGGTTCGTAACCTCGGTCTCGTAAGCTCTAGCTTGTTGTGCCACATCAACAGGGTCCAACCCGGCATGAAGCTGAAGATTCCTGAAGATTACGATGCTCATGCAAATGCAACGTCGTGTTGAACACTAAGGTGCTGATGAAGATACACCTGACCGGCGCCGCTGACGGCCTCAAGCGGTGGTGCGCTGGCCGAATCGCCGGGTGATGAATGCCCCATGACGGCGGGGGTTTGTCCAACATCGGGAATCAAAGCAACATCTGATGCCATGGGGCTTGGAGGGCGATGACGGGAAAAGGGAATCAGTGAACCCGTACCCGAACCCCGATCAACTGGAGGCTTCGGTGGGCTATCTTTCTTGACCCCCCTCGATGAGCTGCAACGAGATCCCTTGGCCCTTGGTTTCGCGGGAGGGGCTCCTAGCAGGCGTCGCGAGAGCTTCGCTTGACGTTGTTGTCAAGTACAGTGAACTTTGTTCTGTATGTTGTTGTGTACTTGTAGACGACATGAGTGAGGATGGCCTTAGTCAGTGTCGGCGATTGCAAATCACTGAACACACGCACTCTGGAAGTCTTTTACCTCCACTCGGAATCGGCAGTGCAACGTCGAGAAGCTCGGCCCGACCTGTTGTGGGCAGATGCACGCCCTTCCTCCAATCCAGGCCCCAATCGTTGCACTCCTTTACAATAAAGGGCTTGTCATGGAAGTGAGCCAATGGGACGCCGCGAAGACCGGCGTGACCAATTGCCCTCCAAAGTTGGTTACTCTTGTCGATACCCGGTATGAAATAGCAAAGGGAATTCCGGATGTTATACCCAGTGGTGCGGCAGACGTTCTCGATGTACCTTATGGCGTTCGTGATCAATGCGTCCATTGAGCACTTAGAACAAAGGATAAACAGAATCTCCGGTCTGTGCTCAGCGATCAACCAACGCGCAAGTGGAATCCCAGCTCCGATCAACAACCTGGTAGAAATCCAAACTGACGATGTGAGTTACGCCTGAACGCTGTGCCAATGCACGCTGTATTTCGGCAGCAAGGTCAGTAAGACTGCGAACCGTGCGCATCGCGGTCAATCGGAAACCAGGTGGAGGAGCAGCCTGTGCCTTGTAAGGTTGCCATTCGGCAACCGTCCACTGGTTTACCGAACCCCTAGTGGCTTGGTTTCTCTCGGAACCGCCCTGAATCCTGAACGACTCCGCCAAAGTAGGGAACCCGTCTAGAACCCTGTCCTGTACGGGTCGCTGCTTAGGCCTTGGCTTAGCCAACGCATTGGGTCCAGCCCCAAATGAAGCAGCAGCAGAAGATGGAGTGACAAAGGAGGCAACAGCGACAGGAGCCTTTGACGGACCTGGTGATTTAACAGGCGGTTGTGGGGGACAGGGTCTTCGACTATAGGCAAGGTTTCACCTACACTCAAATCTAGACTCCTATCTGCCGAGGCGGCACGAAGCGGCGAGCGAGTTCGCCCTCTCTCTGCAGCATGGGAGTCGCGGGCTCGGGGAAGAAGGATTCTGGAGTAAAAGTTTGCAGGAAGCCTCTTGACAATGACTGGGAGCCCTCCAGCTCGGCCTCCCTGACCCGCAGTAGATTCAAGCCAGGGCTCTCCAAAGTCAATGTGATCTGTATAAGGGTCCTGAGGGTGGCGATCCGACGACGGTAGTCGAGCGTCCCATTAGGTGCTTGATCGCCGCCCCTACTCGCTTGTTTGTCGATACGATCGGTCAGGGCTTCAGCTGCGTCGACTCGCCTGAACGCCGCCAGGAAATCGTCCCAGGTGGACATGCAGATCAAACGACGGACGAAGCCGACTGACACAAACCCGTAAGATCTGAGCCCGATCTTGACCCCCTGAAGCCGAGGCACTGGTGGCAAGCCTTTGCGATACTTGCGCCGAGAGAAGGCTGGCGAGGCCAAACATAACCACCCAATGTTCCCAGAATCAAACCCGCGCGAGCCCAGGCAATAGGTGTTTGGGCAATGGCTGGCCCACCGAATGGCCGATCTGAGCCGCAAATGAAACGCGGTGATTCACCGAACTTCCGAATGCCCCGAACTGGGATCGTTGGTGCAGCACGTGGACTTCCCAACGGTGCCGTTGTTGTGTTTGCGGAAGTGGCAGCTCGCGAGTCAACCGTGATGGAACTCAACCGAACAACCCTCCAAAGACTACCCTAAGAGATGACCGAATAAACTCGCCCCTCGTGCTAGGCACTTGCCAAGGAGGTTATGGGTGGTCGTTTGGTAAAAGGCAGTCTGGGTTTGAACAAGCGTGCCTCGGAGCGCGCAGCGACAGCAGGCGCGGCAAAAGCCTGTCAAGGGTAACACCGAGGCAACCCGAGGCTCAACGCGTCGTCTGCGAATCGCAGCCGTCGAAGTCTGCGGATTCGAGTGAGTTGGCGGATCTATCAACGTACACGGTACCACGAATCAATAGCACCGAAAGCAATCCTTCTCTAATGATTTCTCGCGCAATGCTCTGATGAAATGAACCCAGATGTGGAGATACGTCGTGATAAGCCCTTTTGGTCACGTGGAAGATCCAACGGTGACAGGCAAAGATATGAATATGCAATGAGGCTGGCTCTGGCTCGTTTCAATGCAGTGGGTAGGTCGCTTTCTGCAGGACCTACACTATTCTATCTCTCTACCAAGGACGGGAGAGGGACGATGTGGAAATATGGACGCGACACAATGGCGGCGAGAGGATCTACCAATCAACCTACCACAGGGTCCACGTAGCTGAGGCTGTTAAACAGTGATTTACGTGGTATACACATGTTTCAAGACACAGCGCGCGAAACACTTTTTTTTGTGTCTTGAGCCAAATATTGTAAGTGTGAAACGTTCACACTGATCTTCGCCTACCTCTCCTACAAGGACGTTGCTAGTTACATCATGAAAGTGCACGGGGTCCGAGTATTTTCAACTGCGTCTTCAAAATGCGTCTGCGCTTATTAGGCCTTGTTTGTACGAATGCGTCTTCACAAAGCGGATGCTTCTTCAGGTCGTTGGCCTGACTCCGCCAGGACACCGCAATGTGTGTGTGTGTATATATATATATATACACACATAGTTTGCTTTTCATGTATTTGTTCTTATAATATATTGTCTATTTTGTTCTTATTTCTATTTATCTACATTCAAATCTATATCCTCCAAAGGACAGCATCAACAAATCTCAATTTCTGGGGCTCCGGGCTGCTACCATCGCAAAAGTCCTCCGGTTGGAGTTTGGAGCTTTTCTGGCTTTATGTTCAGCGGATTGGGAGTGTGTCAGGGGCCAGGGGTTTTTGTTTTTGGGTTTCCGGGTGCAGGGATTAGGGTTTACACACTCGCAACTCGGAGCTGAGCCAGACGAGGTCTCTCGGTACGTGTCGACACTACAAAACACAGTAAGCTGGGGCAGTGCAGGAACTAGGGTTTGGTCTGGCGGTTTAGTGTTTGAAAAAACCTCATCCCTAAACATCCAAACCCCAGAACCTGCACCACTGAACCCTTAGCCGTCATTTCGCTGAACCCCTAAATCGGAAACCCCGGCGATCCGCGCTTTGACTTGGACCCTGGCAGCCCGAAGCCCCAAGCTGGAACTCCCCACCCAGAGCCCTTCCTCCACCTGGAGCTATGCAGGCTATGCATGCGGATAACACAAATGCTTGTTGTGGAAACCCTTGAAGGTTTCTAGGAACCCTCAGAAGAAGAAGCCTTCTAAGTCTAAGCCCTGTCAAACCTGAGGCTGACGATCCAACACGGATTTCCTCCCAGTCGTACGTGCAGATGGAGCACACCTGGTGGCGCAAATCTTGTCGTCGTCGTCGTAGTAGCAGTAGTAGTACTAGGAGTAGGAGGAGTAGGAGTATGAGGAGGAGAGTAGCAGTAGCAACAGCAACAGCAGAAGCAGTCGAAGAAGGGGTATGGGCGCTAGCGAGCCGTCCGAAACAACAGAGCTTCGTGGCTTAGTGCAGCTACAGGACCTGAAGATTCCGGGAACTTCACCTGGCATTAATAGCCAGCTCTTACGTACTTAACTTGGACCTTTGCTTTGTACTTTGTTGCAAAGCTTGATTCCCCGTACATGTCGTTGTTGGAGGTTTTTGAGTTCCGACATATAGGAAGTTGTATACGAGCCCATGGAGAAGTGTGATACGGTTTTGTACAGTAACGTCTATGGGATAATGCACGGACGGTGCCACCTTCGCATGGGATTAGTTGCTCAGCGCCTCAGCATGAAAACAAATACTGACGTTAAAGAAACACTGAAGCAAATGCACTCATCCACTCACGACCTCTCCTGTGTACCTGTTGCTTTCCCGAACATGCACTTGCTTCAAGTGCAGCTGGGCCGAGGGGGACGACGCAAAGCGGTCAAAATCATAATTTATCCTAAAACCCTGATTAACCCCCAACCCTTAACCCGAATTGTTGCAGAGCCCTTAATTGGGAATGTTCCGCTCGCCCCGCCAATCAGCTCACGGTTTAGGGTTTGGGGTGATTCAGGGTACTGCAAGCGGTCGAATCTTAAGAGAAAATGGCACTGGTCTTACCCCTTCCCGCACGAAGGTACGACGAGGGTTGGTTCTGATTTTGGATTAGAGGGGTTGCCGAAGGGTTCTGTTCGAACGCGTCTTCGGGCTCGAAATTATTCGAAGGGTTTGGATTTGGGGCGACAGGTAAACCTGAACAGAACCCTATTGTTCAGCTCCGCTACGACCCATAAACCTGTAAACCCGCAACTCTGCACCTTCTGAACCTTAAACCCGAAACCCCCAAACCCTAAATTGTCCTCGTCGTTCTGCTCCTCGGGGATCGTAGAGGTGCTCAAGCCTGATGACTCAATTCAGTCCGGAGCACATGAAAACTCCAGGTCCGATACAGGCGCGTGCATCCTACTAGTAGTGGTAGTGGTAGTGGTAGTGGTAGTGGTAGTGGTAGTGGTAGTGGTAGTGGTAGTGGTAGTGGTAGTGGTAGTAGTAGTAGTAGTAGTAGTAGTCTTAGTAGTAGTAAAAGTAGATGCAGTGGTAGCAGTAGTAGTAGTAGTAGCAGCAGCAGTAGTAGTAGTAGTAGTAGGTAGTAGTAGTAGTAGTAGTAGTAGTAGTAGTAGTAGTAGTAGTAGTAGTAGTAGTAGTAGTAGTAGTGGTAGTAGTGGCAGCAGCAGCAGCAGCAGCAGAATAGTAAGTAGTAGCAGTAGCAGTAGCAGTGGCAGTGGCAGTGGCAGTGGGAGTGGGAGTGGTAGTGGGAGTGGGAGTGGTAAACGGTGGAGGTAGCAGTCGCAAGCTAGCAGGTACGAAGCCGTGTACTCGGTGCGAGCACACAGCAGTAGTCAGCCAGTGATGTAGTCTGCTGTAGGATGTAGTGCCGTTTTGCTGGCGAAGTGCAGCAATTTTCCACAGGAAGAGGTAGGGTTCTAAACCAGTAGTTCTATAATGTCATTGGTGCCATAAATGTGTGATGTGAACACTCGCAGACCATAGCTACAGAAGAGCTGACCGGTTTAAACTTACGACGGCATGTCACCAGTATGATGCTGGCTATCAATGTAAACCCAGCCTGAGATCTGAAGTCAAGTGACAGTGAGAACACAAGTCAGAATGCGATGCCACCGACGTGACGAATAGAAGTGAAGAGCACGGAATATTGAGAGATTGCAATGTAGAGCAGGAGGAGCAAGTAGGAAGATTCCACGGTCAATCAGTCACCGAAGCGAAGTACAGGCATAAACTAAAGGTACAATGCGTTGAAACTGAAAAACCAGGGTTGACACGTAACATAAAGATGATAGTTCTCAAGGATCTGCGAGCAGCAATATGGTATACACGTTGCTTGGAAGTGTCCAGATGATCGGGTGCCTTCTGGTGATGGACTGCTAGGGCGTGTAGACCCAGGAGAATTTCCTGGGCACCAACAGTTACCAATGATCATGTCAGCAATGACTCATGGTTTGGGGATAATGCCCCGGACCCCAAACCATTTAGGGATAGGGCTCTCGTTTTTCACATATCAGAGCTTTAGGGAAAGTCTTCAAAGTGTCAGCTGCGCGGTCTGCCGCTAGCTTGTTCGGAAGTATGTGCATGCTAACACATGGCGCAAACCACAAGTAGACCTCGTGGGATCCTTTTCAGCGGCATGAGCATGCTGACAGGAACGCTGAATAACAACAGAAACAACACAGCTTGCCGAAAACACGCGGCCAAGACACTTGGGGGCATCTGTGAACTTCCTTGCGGAAGCGATCAACGGCGCAAACGAAAAGTCCCTTACCGAGGCGATGATTTGTCATCCGCAGCGGTACAAGTGACACTCATTGTTTAACCCTCTTCGTAGCAGCATCGAAACACAAGTTGTTGCAAACAGAGGCTGCTAGGAATAAACGACTACTACTCCGACTACCACTATTACGACGACAAGGGCGAACATTGACAGTTTCAGCAGGTGGCGACGATTTTCGGAGAGACGATGTCAGAACGTTTAAGACACACAAGCCCGCGCATTTCAGCAGCAAGAGGCAAGAGCAGAGAGCACGGCAATTTTGAAAACACTATCCAACAGAACATCGTAGTCCCGATAGTTCCAGGCAGGCCAGAACCAGTGTAAACGCTGGCATCAGCAAAACATAATCATCAACATCAACATCATTATCATCATCATCATCAGCAGCCAATCATCAGCATGGTCATGGACATGATCGTCATCATCGTCCTTAACAGCATCTTTGTTATGGTCATCGCCGTCACCAGCAACTTCGCAGATTCCTAAAACCCGGCGCCCAAAAGACCGAACATGTGACAATCTTCAGATGAGGCGATGCATGCATACGTGTATATGTATATGTACATGTATATGCCTCTATGCATTTGTGGGTATGTATACATGCATATATACATGTATATGTATATGTAAATGTGTACGATCTGTGTGTATACCTATATACACATAAGATACAGGATACACACACACACATATATATATATATATATATATATATATATATTATACATACATACATACATACATACATACATACATACATACATACATAGATGTGTGTGTGTGAATGCATGCATGCAAGTATGGATACATGTATGTGTGCATGTATGTAGGTGTGCATGTCCGACATATGCATATAGGTACGTATGCATGCATGCATGGATGTATGCATGTATGATCGTCCTCCGTGGCCGAGCTGAGAAGGAAAAAGACTGCCTGCATGGCAGGGTCTTGGATTTTTTTGGCAAAGTGTAAGTCTTTTGGATGTTTTGGGGATAGGATATGCATCCTTGGGTTTGGGGTGTGAGACTTCGTTGTTGTTGTTGCTGAACCTCTGTTTTGGGGTTTCGGGTGTAGGATTTCCGGTTTCAGCTTCTGGGTCTTGTAGAACACCCCCCACCCCCCCCCCGCCCCGGGCTATGAGTTTCTATGGAGAGGGAGAGGGCTGCATTGTCCAAGGTAGGATCTGCTATCAAAATTCAGATTACGCTTGCTTGAATTTGGGTCCCGTATTGGAAGCCGAAAGCTGATGGGTGCGAGAGGGTTGGCAGAGCTCATGGAGAATAGGGCTGATATCCTTGAGGACGGCACGGTTGAGGGCGTCCTTGAGGATGCTTTCGGTGATTCCGGAATCGAAGGATGTGCTTTCTGTTTAAAAAAGCCCAAAATCTCTCGGTGTGAGGGCTTGTGTTGAGGATGTTCAGGCTGTAGGATTTCGGGATGCATAAGTTGTCGGCATGAGTTTGTTCTCCCGGACTCCGTGGGGCTCGGGAAGTGCAGTAGGGCGGTAGAGTCCACAAGAGTATAGGCCATTCATTGAAGGATCTGGGGGACACTCAAAACGTCAGGAGATGTAGGGTCATGATTTTGCGGTCTGTCAGATTGCGGCAAACGTGCGTGAAGATGTTTCTAGAACAGCTGCAAAGTGCCTTTGTGCGGGATGCATGTACAGCGTCGATGTCGAAACCGTTCGAAAGGCCAACCGTGTTGGCAATTAGAGTCGGTGTCGTCGGTATGGATGCTGGCTTGGCTTTGTGCTTCTTCCAAGGCTGGGACTCGCCTCAGAAAGACCATTGACAATAACCGTCGTGGACTCTATAAATTCCGCGAGCGTGCCATGAAATTCCTCCGGTGTAACCTCTGCTGCATCAAATAAGATGTTGGAGCTGCCATGTGGAGAGTCGTCATCAGTTGGGTTTGCTTGCTTGAGTATCGCCTGCAAGGAGTCGGCGATGGCTGCTCGTTGTGCGCCCGTCATGTAAATGAAGGGAGCGGCTGGGACGTACTTGGGCGGCATGACGCTTGTCACTGTTAAACTAGTCTTCTTGAACGCCAAAGGCGGCGCCAAGAACCTTTGGGATCATGCGAGTGTAGGCATGCAATCCAAGTAAAATGGTGTCAAGCTGCAATGCTATGTTTGGGTTGCAGCGCGCAATCCATGGTAGAATCAATTGTTTGTCGTATCCTGCTCTTTTGTACACCTCAGTAGGCTGCTCCATGGAAGTGTTGGAAGCTCGAGGAGGTGTGGTGATGCCCGCCCCGCCCCCTTCCCTCTCTCCCCACCCCCAGCCCTGAGGGTTTCGGGGTTGTAGTCAACGGCTCACGTTTGTGTTTTCAGGGAGGTAGGGGTTGGGGGCTTAAGGTAAGCCCAAGACGCACTGGCACTGCACATACTTCCCTTGAACCCTTTATGAAACCCCGACCCGACGAAATCCCCTAACCCGCCAAAGCCTTACAACACACGGAACCTAAGCCCTTACAAAAGCCCTGCAAACCTCCCGAAACCGGGTTGGCTTCGAGTTTAGAATAGTCAATGCAGTTCAGTTGTGTAAGATTTGGTGTTCTGAATTTTTTTGCCTCCTGCATGGCTGAAGCTTGGCTTCTCGGATTTGGGCTGTTGGTTTCAAGATTCAGAGCTTTGGAAACCTACAAGTTCATAGGAGCCTCCAAAAAGGTCTTGGCCATAAGCCCTATGCGCCTTCCTGTTGGGGCAGGAATGCGGCGAACGGGTCCCAGCTGGGTGCAGCCTCGGTTGAATCTTTGGTTTTTGAAGACTTCCATAGAGCTTTAGACAGGTTCAGGCCTTCCATAGACGGTCCATAAGGCCTTATAACAGACGAGTTTGTAGAAGGTGGTTCAAGGCTGTACGAGGGTGTAAGGCTTCACAAGACAACCTCTAGGCCTGAAACACTATTGAAAGGATAGGGTTTATGGCTTAGCGCATGGGCTCGAAAATACCTAAAATTAGGGTTGAGGTGTTTAGCATTCAAGGGTCTGTGGCTCACATAAAAAGGATTAGGGCACTTAGTCAGCAGGTGATGTATTTGCACTTTCTAACCCCTTAGGTGAAAGCATCCTTCTGTTGACCCTGCTGCACACTCACTTAATTTTTCGCACCTGGAAACACATAATCAAATTTCAAGTCGTAAGAAGCCCGAACATTCCAAAGTTTGGTGTTGGAGAACTCTGCAACAAGCGGCAACTTCTTCCGAGGGCCCACGAGGATGAGGCTCTGCGCTGGCATGCTCGCCTCGAGGATGAAACCAGGGTGCAAAAAGGGTACTGTAATTCAAGGGTTCTTCAAGGGTGCAAAACGGTATCTTAAGGGATTGTTGAAGACCCGCTTTGGCGCTGACGGGCGGTACTTTGACACTTTGACCCTGCTGCCTGTTGTAGCATCCCATGTCCCTCCTGGACAGTGGCCCGTATTAGGGCCCCTATAAGTCTAACATTGATTGCAACCGATGCAAGCTAACAAAAACATCATGCTAGTACCTCCGGCATGCCGGGCTGTGCGCGGCGTGTTTACTTCACCTGGTACCCACTTTCTTCTGAAACCTCCAAGGCTGAAAACATGTCCTTCACAGTGTCTGACACGAAGGCTTGGGGGGATAGTATAGTGTAGCGGCTGTAACCTCCACGCTACGCCGTTTGCTTAGGCTCCTGGGAAACTCGCAGCTGGAGACCTGAAAACCTGAACCCTGCACCCCAACCCGTGAGCTTTCGGGACTATATAGGGTTAGGCATCAAAATTGAAGGTTTCGTGAGCACGCTACGCTGGTACACCACGCTGTGGCTTAGGATTTTGGGTTTTGAAAGATGTCAAACTGAGAACACGTCAGGGGAACGAGGAGCGCAAGATGTATGATGCTTGAACATTGAGATCGGGAAACCCCCACTTTAAGGAACCCATCCTGACAGCAACCCCAAACCTATGCCTAGGATATGCTTGCCGCTTGGGGTTGGGGATTTTAGGGTCTACGTGACGGGGTTGAGGGATTCAAAAACCCTAAATGCGCCAAAATCGAACCATATACAATGCCCCAGAATCTGCTGCCCCCTTTGCCCGTCCCGCACAAAACCTCAAGCCGCTAACCAAAGTCTGCAACAAATCCACATGCATGTGAAAGAACTGTGTGTGGAATCTATATATATATATATGTATATATATATATACACATAATATATAGACAGAGACAGGGCGCCCGCCTGGGGTAATGTGGCAAACGACCTGACGCCGAATCCGAATTCCTGAACCTGCGTTGCTTTAGGTGGCGCCGAATTGTGACGCCACATTGTCTGACGCCGAGTTGGCCCACTGACGCCGACTTGGATCGTGACACCGAATTGTTCCCTGACGCCGCATTGGGTGGTGACGACGAACTGTGAAGCCGCATTGGGTGGTGACGCAGAGTTGCTGACGCCATACCAGGTGGTGACTCGCCGAATTGGGTCGTGACGCCGGATTGTGAAGCCACGTTGCCCGAGGCCCCTGGATCTGATGCCGGATCCTGACGCACGCATGCAGGGGTGCGGCACTGTTCTGACAACGCATAGAAGCACCACATGCGCCGATTTGCGTTGCCCTAACTTTTAAATCAGAACCCTTACTATTACAGATCTTGAACTGCGAGGGCGGGGGCTTGGACTGATGCAGCGTCCATGATTTTAGATCAGAACTGTTATAGATTCTGAGCCCCCTGGCGCGACCCTGATCTCTAAATCAGAACTCTTATAGATCTTGAACTCTGAGGATAGGGCCTTGGACTGATGGTGCGCCCCTGATGTTTTCATCGGAACTCTTATAGATCTTGAACCCGGAGGGTAGAGCCTTGCACTGATGGTGCGCCCCTGATGTTTAACAACACAACTCTGATAGATCATGACCTCTGAGGATAAGGCCTTGGACTGATGGAGGGCCCCTGGTTTTGGATCAGCTTTCTTACAGATCTAGCGCCCTTGATTTTCAAATCAGAACTCCTATAAATGTTGCACTCCGAGAAAAGGGCCTTGGACTGATGGGCAGCCCTGATTTTTTTAATCAGAACTCTTATGAACCTGGAAGTTCGAAGGTGGGGCCTTGCAGTGATGGGGCACCCATGAAATTTTAAATCAAGATTCTTACAACCCTTGAACTCACAAGGTGGAGCCTTTGACTGATTGGGCTCCCTGATTTCAACATCAGAACTCTTACAAAGCTTGAGTGCCGGGGATGGAGCCTTGCACTGACGGGGCGCCCCCTTTTTTGCAAGTCAGGACTCTCACACAATTTGAGCCTTTCACTGCTGGGCCGCTGATTTAGTGAGGACGCTTACGGCACTTCTTACCGAAGATAAAGATTGAGCCAATTCCATACAGGCTCCTCCCCTCGAGACAGAGTTGGGGGGGTGGGTTGTTTTGGTCCTGTTGGCCAAACAACCAATGGGCGGTTGGGCGCGCACACCATCTCATGATCCGAACTCTTTTACTGGATCTCCCAGGAAGGAGCCTTGGACTGATGGAGAGCCCGAAACAGTAAAAATCAGAAACCTTGCGAAACCCATGCTCAGTCAACTGTCATGTGAGTCATGCATGTGAAGTTGCCATCGCATGCTGCTCGTGGTCGTTATGTCGTGAAAGCGGCTTCGCAATGCGTCTGCGCCAACCTGGACCGCAGCCTCGCAATGTGTCTCCTGAAGTACAAGCCGTCTTTGCTACCCTAACGCGTCTTGGCAATGCGTCTTCGCGTATCCAATGTGTCTTCGCAATGCGTCCGCGCCACCCAATGCGTCTGCGCCTTCAATACGTCAGTTATTTACGTGGTTTACACTTGTTTCAAGACACAGCGTGCGAAACACTTCTTTTTGTCTTGAGCCAAATGTTGTAAGTGTGTGAAGCGTTCACTCTGATCTTCACCTACCTCTCCTACAAGGACGTTGCTAGTTACATCATGAAAGTGCACGGGGTCCGAGTATTTTCAACTCCCCCTTTGAAGACAGCGCGACACGTTACACGTTCGGACTAACGAAGTAGAGTCAGACACCTAAACTACGAGGCAGCTTGAAACCCAGGGATCTCAGTACGCGCAGGTCGTGACAAGTTAACTTCTCCGGCCCCTTCGGGCTGAAAGCCACAAGCACAACTCTCGCTCCTAGGGGTTCAGCGCATGGAACTGTGCAATGCTTCTTGGAAGGCTGGAAGATGGCGGGTGGCTCAAGTATCTTTTACCAGGCAGGTTGCAGTCAAGTTTAGGGCATTGGGCAGTGCCGTCAGGATCTTCCATCCAGATTTCGCCTCCGGTAACCCTTGTGAGTGGTATCACGAGGTTGCAGGACTCAGGTTCGTTCCACGCATCACTGTGAAGCGACGTACACTGACGTTGAAACAATCCTATTGCTGCAAGCCGATGGTTTCTGAAACGCTGACCGAGCTAGAACACTAGAAACCTTACCGAATCTGTGACTGTTGTTTCGAATGCCAAAACTCCCTCCACCGTGGCAGTAAGCGCCAACAGCAAAGCAGTGAACTTCACTACCCTTTAGATCTGGGATCCACCCTCCTTTAACACGTGGAGGGGCCCAAATTGTAGATGACAATTTGCGATTGTTTTGCAGGCAGCGATGCTAATTGTAGGATTCCTGTTTTCATGACAAAGCATATCACAGCATGAAGTCTTGCCGATCGCGCAACCCTTCTTTTTCCTGACTACCAAGCCAGATGGCCTACCTCTGCGAAACCTCAATGGCCAATCTTCGACATTTCCAGACAGATGTACGACCTAGTCAAGCCTAACTCAAGAGAACGGGGGGTTGCTTTTCGGACATGCCCGACCCCCCCGAGCCCATGAACTTCCTGACAAGGCGTTGTAATTGTAGACAAGCCTCTCTGCAATTATGCGCCCCACCCCCCCATCCTACCATTAATAAGGGAGCGGGGATGATCTGGGCATCTGGGGCCGGTAAACCCTTCTATGCCTCAACTCCTCGGACAGCACGCGTATGGAAAGAGCATAAGAAGCAGTCTCGGATTTCACTTTCTCAATGTCCTTTCCATGACTCGGGTCCTGAGTCGAGTCGAAAGAGCTGGGGCGACGGACGGTTCGAATTTGCAGCGATTCTTCGGGTCTGTCCGGTAATGAACCAATTGGCCTAGGACCTAGGAGCAGGCAGCGCCCTGTGAAGTCGGACCCGGCCGCAGACACATAGCGTGTGCCTTCGGAGTCTTTCAAGACGTGTTTCAATTTCAACACAAACGCGGCATAAGAACAACTATGAACCCATAATCCGGGACGGATTTGGAATCCACTTTGGAGGTGAACAGCTCGAGTAACCTCCTCTAACGTTCTTATGTCTCTCTCCAATACAGAGTTGTGGGGCCACTTGTTGGGCAGCGTGGGCTCTGCTATCCATGACATTTGAAGGCATGCACCTTCGAGCTCCTTGGCGCAGTGACTTTTGAAGATGACCGCGGGGCCGTGGTCGGCGTGTTTGCCGATGAACTGCAGTAGACATCGCACGACGTTCTCAGTGGCTTTGCCAAGCAATGGAAACGCGCGGATGAATTCGGTGTGCTCGTCACGGACGACTAACACAGTGGCCTCCTTGTCATCTGAGGCGACGAGGGGCCCATCACGACGCCGGCTGACCCGACGGGCATACATGCGGCATTGCATGCAAATGCGGCAATACGGATTCTTCGAGTAATGTGCGAGACGATGTTCGTTTCCAGCAGCCTCTCGCAGGAGGCGTGTGGCCTTGCCGTCAGGAGGTTCGTCCGGAATCTCCTGTTCACCCTGAGGGTTCATCAAGCGGGTCGTCCGATGCTGGACTTCATTGACAAGCTCACCCAGGCCATACGCACGACAGGACAATCACGCATCACATAAGAAGAGCTATTCCCGAATTCGAACCATGGGCATTGAGGACTTCACTTGACGTGTAAACCCCATTCCCGGTGGAGAATGCTACTGGTTGAGACGGTGTGACATGCTTGGTTGCTTGATGACATCACTGGGAATACCTTGCTGTCTTTCATCGATGTCAAGTTTCGGCCCGCGCCGCCGCGCCGCGATCGGCAATCCAATCTACATGGAAGGGGCCGGATTGCATGCCAGGGAGCGCTCTGCTGGGCTCGAAAGGCAACACAGCTAGAACAGCAGAAGCAAGAACGGAAAACCAATCCGCAAAGCATCGGAAGAACCCCCGGAGACCGGACCTGGCAACCAATGATTGACAAGTTCCAACCGCCTTTGGCTCAACTGCATGTGCACTT